GGAGTTGCCCATAATTCAGGTGATTGAGCGGATACAGATTAAATTAATGACAGTATTTGAGGAAAGGCGTGCAAAGTGTAAGTCGTGGTTTTCCATGCTTGCTCCATCTGCTGAGAATCATATTACTGAGGCAATGAACCTTGCTTCTAAGTATCAAGTCCTTCGATCAGATGAAGTAGAGTTTGAGGTTCTATCAACTGAGCGATCAGACATTATAAACATTGGAACCCATTCTTGTTCTTGTCGTGATTGGCAGCTGTATGGAATACCATGTTCACATGCTGTTGCTGCACTAGTTTCTTCTAAAAAGGATGTTTATGCCTTCACTGAAAGGTATTTTACCCAGGCTAGTTATTGTGAAACGTATGCAGAAGAGGTGCGACCCATCCCTGGAAAAATTGAATGGAAGAAGGAAGGTGAAACCACCATGGATGATGAAATACGGATTGTACGGCCTCCCAAGGTTCGCCGTCTTCCTGGGCGCCCCGAGAAAAAGCGAATGTGCATAGAGGATCTTCACCGTGAGAAGCATACAGTCCACTGTAGTCGATGCAATCAGACAGGACACTACAAGTCAACTTGCAAAGCAGATGCCTTGAGGGAATAGACTAAACTAGTAAGTAGTTAAGTTTTGTAGTTTTGATATGAACACAGTTTTAAGAATGTGGTACTGACTGTATTTGGGTTTTCTTTTGTTTCACACTTCCCTTTAAATTAAAAGCCCTCAAGTGCACAAACTAGCAAATTAGGTCTTGTGGATTCGCCCTTGTAGTAAAGTGTATCTAGAACTCAAGAAGATGCCAATTCTCTAGTTTATTTTTTTTTGAAGCTAGTATTACTTTCTCTGAGTGCTGATCTCACTCTACTATCAGTTGCCTTTGTATAGGCAAAGCCAAATACATGTGCTGCTATTTAGACACACTCTTCTGAAGGATACCTTGAGCTGATGTTTGTTTTTCAACTTTTTCCATTCAATATTGTGAAAATTGTCACGGCAATGGGGTGATTTTTCTTCCCTATCCAATCAATTAAATTCATGGCATTTTATTGTAGCACATGGACATGCAAGTTCTTGTACCCAATGAGTCTTGAGAACTCTCCTTTTGTTATAGAAAGCACCATTTTCTTTCCATGGGAGAAGCTGTTTCGTCTAATTATAGACTGACTAGCACCTCTTACTCATTCCTCTCCAATCTTTCAGCAGCTTTCAAGGATGGGGTGAGCAAGAGCTGCATTAGATTGAGGACTAAATGTACAAATTTCCCAGATAAAAAGGAAACACAGGAGCAAGCCTATTGGCTTAGCTATAGAAAATGGCAACACTGGTCATGAGAATGTTACTGCCTAGGCTCCTAAAAAGAAAAAGAAAAAGAAATGTGCAAGCCTCTCTGGCAATGATCTGATGCAAAACATCACTGTACTAAGAAACAATGTTTTCCTCTCAAACAACTAATGGCCAAGTCTCTTCGACCTTGATACAATGTCCTGTCTTGTTATGACTGTTTACAAAAGTAATATCAAAATTCTTTCTGACACAACTAGCCAAAATTACCGGCATAATAGGCATCAACGAGCAAATATCATGAATCTTCAACGGGATGATCAGTCTCGTCAAAGATTCCCTCCTGCAAGAGGTTATCATAAGTTTAAGATATATGGCATTCTTTGAAATGGAAGAATCTGAAGTAAAAGTTTTAAGATAGACAAAGCTAGCCCTTCATGGATAACAGATCATCATCAAGACATAATTAAGATGAGTATTAAGAGAAAATTGAATTCACCTGTAAAAGCTCGTCAATAACATCTTCCAAGGTAATTATTCCAACTGCTGCTTCTTCATGAAGAGTTGGCAGAGGATTTTCATCTATTCATAGGATGTTAGCATACATGTTTTTAGTCCACTTCTTGCTCCTAGGTGTACACTTGAAGGAATTGTTTTCATTTTGGGAAACTCTTCCATTTCTGCACTGGCTTTTCACCATCAATGTCTACTTTCACATCCTTGACTGTATCTACACATACACGTGGACAGGGAAATTGTTAGATAAAGGAAGCTTATTTTTTTATTGCGAAGCTAATTAGCCAAAAAAGCTTACTGTCTTCAGGTTCTGTGCTAGCTGGCTGTTGTGTTGCCTTGTTGCTGTATTTTACAACAACAGCCATGTGGCTGTGACCCTTCTGGAACTCACTCAAGATGTCATATAACGGCACAGTTTCAGGAACCCTAAGAGTCAAGCATATAGAAAGAACAAGTTCAAAAGCAATATCAGGAGTATCCTGTCCAGGAACACTCCTAAGTTATACTTAAAATTACCATAAGACTGTTGAATCAATACAGCAAATTCAGAAGAAATACATGGACACATTCTGTTTATGTGCGCATGTACATAGACAAATAACTAGAAAATTATTATATATATATATATAATATCAATTCATTTAATTATCAAAGTCTCTTGTCCCCTTTTATAGGGTTCAAAGATCCTATTCTAAGTCGCAAATATTTAATAAAAACTATTAAATCAAACATGATTAAATTACTAACATAAATCTTAAAATTGAAAACAAAATAAACATAATATCCCTTCTAATTCTTCATCAGCAGGATAATGATTTACATATCATTTTCACTACTTCAAGAGACTGAAGATAAAATTCAGTATTAGACATCAATATTCCACACCACAGTACCTTGGAATTCTACGAATTGTAACGCTCTTCATGGGGACTTCATCCCCTGGATGGATGGTCAACAAGTTCTTAGCCTACAAGGCAATAAATACAAAAATAGATAAACTAAATCAGATTAATCAAAACTTGGAATATCTATCCCCACATGTTGATCGGAATCCATGATGATAGCCGAATTTATAAGATAAAAAGCTAAATAATATGAATTTGTGGATGACTCTACATCTCAAGAAAGTAGAATCAGACAAAGCCCCCGTCTGAGAATAATTTATAAATAGATAGAAATGAGTGATGGATAAATGGATGATACTTGTGGGTCATAGGAACATGTGGTTGAAAATAAAATTTGGCTATTTATAAATGATCTATAAATTTTGCCAAATTGAGGCCAAGTAAGATCACATAAAATTTATCTGAAAGCACCATCTCATAGCTTAAAGTTTATCAAGTTGAATTTTTCTTAACTTTTGGTAGCTATCAGAAAGTTAAATCAGGTCTAAAGTCACCATAAATATCGTCCACATAGTTTTTGCTGTGGTACAGAACAGGGCCAAACTCTCTAACAAGGAGGCAGGAGGAGTCAAAATAGGGAAAGGAATTTGAATCCAGCACAGAAACAAAACTTATAATTGGCGATCATTTAGGGAAGTTGATGCACCTAAGAGATCTTCTATCTACTAGAGAAATTCTCCCATCCAATAGATGAAGCAATGTTTATGAATTGAAACAAAGAAAAAATCACTTGATGCAGCACACAGAAATGGATTTTAAGTACCAGATTAAGTCCAATAATGTTTGTAGGTTGCTCATAGTAGACTGGCACTCTGCTATGTCCTTTCCAAAATGAGAACCTATACCAAAACATATCAAAATATCAACATTAGAAAAATGAGTTCATTGTAGCTGGATTTTTAGGCTGGCCAAAATATACCGTACCTGTCAAGCTTTGCATTTATACAAGCCTGCCGGAGGGCCAGGCCCTCAAACATGGGGCCGATGTGGAGGCCCCATATTGGAGGGGTGCCTGTTCAAGTGGCCCTGCAATAATTGTTGTCTCGTCATGTGTCAGTTCTCCACCTTTACCTGCCTGTTTAAAACCAGTACACAAAGTAGATAATTAGCACGGTAAAGGTAAGAACCCCTGATAACATAACAAAGTTTGAAATTTTGTATTTCCTTCATACCTTGTTGCCATGCAAATGAAATAGGGTTTTCAACTCCGCTTGGCGAAACAGAGCTCTATGCCCGCCACCAAGCAGTAAGTCTAATAACTGGGTATTACAGAAATAGCTGTAAGTCAGTAACTTGAAAAAATTCACTCAGTAATACCTCTTAACTATTGAACCTTGGGACACTTTTTTAAAACTAAATGGTGTACCTTGCTTTTTGGATATGCAACTGGAAAACCGATCCAGACCAGGATGCGAACTATCGGGGCCACAGTAGCACCAATAGCAAGCAAGTCCATATCTAGAGCAAGCGGACTGGGGTATAATCTGACAGTGCAGTCAAAACAATCAGGAATAATTCCCTGCATACAGGTGCTGCCATTTTTGCCCATATTCACTCCAAAACCAATGAATTTTTGCCAAATATTATTTTGTAAAAATATTTTCTGTACTTGTAGCATAAATGTAGCAATCAATTCATGTAAACTAGTTCATCAATTTCACGTAGCAGCTCATAATGTTAAACGTGTCAGAAAGAACATAATGGTCAACGGATAAAGATACTTGGCCCTGTCCAACCGCCCCTCCAATTGAGGGCACCTATTAGGTGCTCTGGACAGGTGGCCCTGTCCATCCAACATAACCCATGGTCAACTCAAAACATCTAGACTTTATCAACAAAAAGGTAGCCCACTCATCCATCTGTGCCTTTTCCATTATCTTCAATTTTTTTCTTGTCAATTGGGATCTTATTGGATTTGTAACTATAAAGAGCTACATTATTAGTTACTACCTCCGTCCCATTTATATAGTCTTAGTTTCCCTTTTTTCTTATCCCAAATATATAGTCCTGTTTCTTAATTTAGAATATATTTTTTTGTTCCTTTACTAATCTACCCTAATTTAATTTACATAGTTTCAATCAATTTTTCCCCAATGATTTGCCTACTTCTTGAAATCATCCAAATACATGCACATTTCCCAATAATTTGCCCATTTCTTGAAATCAATTATTAAATTTTTTTACTAATTCCAACAATAATTTACTCCTAGTTGTTGAAAATTAAATAGGGGCAAATTAGGAATTTTTTTGCCAAAAATTACTTTTCTAATAACATTAAATAAATTTTTTTTTTAATTCTTGTGAAAAACAAAACAAGCCTATATGAATGAGATGGAGGGCGTATTAGTTATTATTATTATAAACTTAGGTTATAGTGCATCCTTGATTTAGTCGTAGTTTATTTTATTTAAAAATAAAAAATTTAGTATATTTTGATAAAAATTGAGAAAGTATATAGGCCCTATTTGATAGAAATTAAAATCAAAATTTTAATATAAATCAAAGTCCACAATTAAGCCCTTGTTTGAGCCCTATTTTGTCATAAAAATGCATTTTTGAATAGTGTATTGATATGAAATATGTGGTTAAAATTTTTTTAAAAAAGTTTTGAATTTATTTATAATATTATTTATTGAAAAATGTGTGGTTGAAATATGTCAAAACACTGTTTAATAATACATCTTTTTCAAAGAATGTGACTCGAACAAGGGCTAATTTTAACCACATATTTCATAACTTCTATTCAAATCTACTAAAAATATTATTTTAATCTCCATCAAACTATGTGCGAATGAAAATAAATTTGAAAAAAAGAGCTTTAAAATGGAGGTCAAATAGGAGTTTCTAATTGTTTGGTTCTTATTATTTCCAACTAGTCGTTGTCATGTGCATTGTACGAATGTTGTATTTATTATGTTTTTATTAGTGTAGAAATTGTGGATATTAAAAAAAAATGTTGAAGATTTATTGCATTATTCAAGAGTCTTGGCATGCTCTATCTATAAAATCCCCATGCATACACTTATGGTTGCAGTTAGTTAAATAAACCCAAAGTGAAGAATGCTCGTACTGTCTCAAAAATCACTATCTTCTAAACCAAAAATTAAAAAATATCTAGTGTATGTGTTTGATTAGTTTAGGCAAGTATGTGAGAAAAGCTGAATCTATTAGTAATATCATTATGTCTGAACTATATGAGTAGCATGAAATTCTTAAGATATTGACCAAAAAAAAAAAAAAAACACTTGCACCAAGTCAAGGAAATTATTGGAGGTTTGCATACATTGTTCTGTTCAATTCAACAATCTATCCTCTGCGACTCATCAACTTTCTAAACAATGGGACCCATTTTCTTTATTAAACTTTCATCAAATGCATCACAAAAGAAATTCTAAACAATGAGACTCATCATCTGTATACAGATTATTGGAATATTAATTTCAATTAAGCACTGATTGGTCCAATAATTTTTAGCAAAATTGACGAAAATGTCAAACTCAATCAATCAAAAACTATAGCTTGTAAGAAATCATCACAACCAACAAACTTCAAAGTGAAACAAGTGGTCTAATATAATTTTTATGCAAGTTAGTTGCATGGGGATGATGTTAGACCAATTAATGTGGCCCCACGTAATATTATAAATAAGTTAATATTTGGTCTATATATATTAAAAATCTGATTGGTCATTGAGAAGTGACAGTTTTGTAACTGTCCACTTTGATGGAAAGTCGGTAGTTTTGGCCTAAAAGAAAACTGCCTCTCTGCTTTTTAACGTGACTGAAAAACCATCAATAAGAATATTCAAGAACAGTAAGGAAAAGAGAGAGAACAGTTTTCTTTATTCTCACTGATTTCTCTTTTGCAGATTTAATAAATTTCAATTTTCTTCATGGATCAAGGTATGTTACTTGATCAAATTACTCATACGTGAAAATCATAGAATTCCAAGATCTTGGCATAAAGTATGAATTAATTGCTTACACGTGGTATCAGAGCCCAAGTTATGGAATTCATGATTTTTCGTTAAAGATTAATGTTTTACATTCATAGATCTTTAATTTTTCGTATCAATTTATGGATCAATGCGTAAAATAAGAATGACAGATTCCGCTGCAAATATGTTTCTGTTTTCTGATTGACTGCTGCTAAAATAATAAATGGATCTTTGATTTTTTACTGCACCGATATTAATCTGTGAAAAGAGCAGTCCCTGTTTCATCAGAAAAATTACACATCATTTGCATTTATTATTGTTTCACGTATTATGTAAATTAACGGATGGGATGATTTCCGTAGAAAACATTATTAATTCTGTCAAACCTGATGAATTATTATTGGTTGAAGAAAAGTTGATTTCTTGGTTTTCACAATGAAAAGTGGATCTACCATCAACTGTACGTATATAATTTTGGAAGTTTCTGGGCTACCTTTTTGCCTATGAATTTATGGGAACCATCACCATTTATAACATGATTATTATATGAATAGAAATTGGAAACCTGACACATTGAAAGAAAAGAGTGCACGCCTATATTTATGTCAAATTGGTCTTTGTATCAAATGTTTATTTCAAAAGGGCTCTAATTCCAAGACAATGGCAGAACTGTGTGCATATTAATTTTATACAGTAACTACAGAAGGTGGTACGCTCACTGTTGAAATGACAGTATAAATGAGTGCCTAATTTACTGTAGTAATTCTGTAATTAGTGTAGTTTGGGTGTTGAATTTTTAAAGTATCTGGGCCATATATATATTAATTACTGACTGCCTCACATGAACGATTAATTGTACTATGTGATTAGATGACTGCTTCAATTAATTTATTATGTGTTTTGTGGCTGGTCAAATGTACGTAAATCTGAAATTATTGTTATGTGATAAATATTTTGTTTATGTAATTTATGTTCAATTAATGTTGTTTGTTAGTCATCAAAGTGGCCAAACATTATGGGATGTAAACATTAAATTACATAATTTATTTGTTAAACACTCTTGATAATGTGATGCTTATAATAGGAAATGACATTAAAATTATTGATGTTAAGAGTGTATTGACGTTCATAGGTTATAAAATTATTATGGATCGCCCAAAGGTTGATCGGTCAATTTTATTAATCTTGAACATGATCGTGGTTAATTGATATACTTAATTGGATGTGTTTTGTATATCCAAAGATGACAGACATGTTTGATTGGAGTATGATTGATTACCAATTAAGTGAAATTTAATTAGCATCACTATGTTTATTATGATGGTATAACGTAGTATCACCCCAAAGGAGAACTACGATATACATTTATTGTTGTCCGAATCTGAACTAAGTGTTTAAGTCAAAACTCAAAGCATTAATGTTAGAGCATTTTATATTTTGCAGTATCTGTTCTTGTTTCTCTGCATCGCATGCTTCATCTGTACCACTGTTCAATGGGCTCAATTTCTCTGACTGGTGTGAACAAGTCCAGTTCAACTTAGGTGTTTTGGATTTGGACTTGGCACTTCAAGTTGAGAAACCTGCTGATCTCACTGATGAGAGCAGTGCTGATGAAAAATCTTTCCATAAGGCTTGGGAAAGGTCTAACAGATTAAGCCTAATGTTTATGCGAATGACCTTGGCAAAGAATATCAAGTCTACTATCCCTAAAACTGAGAGCGCCAAGGAATATATGAAGTTTGTGGAAGAACGTTCCCAAACAACTGACAAATCGCTTGCTGGCACACTGATGGGTACATTAACCACCATGAAATTTGATGGTTCTCGTACCATGCATGAGCACGTTACTGAAATGAGTAACATTGCAGCAAGACTTAAGACTCTTGGGATGACTGTGGATGAGAAGTTCCTAGTACAGTTTATCATTAACTCTTTGCCTCCTGAGTATGGTCCATTCCATATGAATTATAATACCTTAAATGACAAATGGAATGTGAATGAATTGCACAGTATGCTCGTGCAAGAGGAGACAATGCTTAAGAATCAAGGAACTCATTCTATTCATCTTGTAAGTCGTCAAGGAGCTGGAAAGAAATATAAGAAAAGGTCTGGAAAGGGCATTAAGTAAGGACCACTAAAGATAAATGAGTTTTCTGCCCAAATCCACAATAAGGAACACAAGAAAGATGTGTGTCATTTCAGTCGCAAACCTGGGCACCATAAAAAGGACTGCCTGAAACGTAAGGCATGGTTCGAAAGTAAAGGTAAGATTATTTCTTACGTATGTTTCTAATCTAATTTGGCAGAAGTTCCTTATAATACTTGGTGGATTGATTCTGGATGTACCACTCATGTTACTAATACGATGCAGGGATTCCTTTCAACCCAGACCATAAATCCAAATGAAAAGTTTGTCCTCATGGGAAATCGAGTCAAAGCTCCAGTTGAAGCCATTGGAACTTATCGTTTGATTTTAGATACTGAACATCATTTAGATTTATTTCAAACACTTTATGTACCTTCCATTTCTCGCAATTTAGTTTCTTTATCAAAACTTGATTCCGCTGGATATTTTTGTAATGGTGGAAATGGATGTTTGAATTTGTTTAAGCAAAATCATCTTACTGGTTTCGCTATTCTTTGTGATGGCTTATACAAATTAAAGCTTGATAATCTTTTTGCTGAGACTCTTTTAACCTTGCATCATAATGTTGGTATTAAACGTGGTTTACTGAATGAACGGTCTGCTAACTTGTGGCATAAACTTTTGGGTCACATATCCAAGGAAAGGATGGAAAGATTAGTAAAGAATGAAATTCTTCATGACTTGGATTTTAGTGATCTTGGAATTTGTGTGGATTGTATTAAGGGTAAACAATCCAAACACACAAAGAAAGGAGCCACAAGAAGCACACAGCTTCTTGAGATAATACACACCGATATATGTGGGCCTTTTGATGTTTCATCATTTGATGGAGAAAAGTATTTTATCACCTTTATTGATGATTTTTCACATTATGGCTATGTTTATTTGTTGCATGAAAAGTCTCAAGCTGTAAATGCTTTAGAGATCTTTGTCAATGAAGTTGAACGGCTATTAGACAGAAAGGTGAAAATTATTAGATTTGATAGAGGTGGTGAATATTATGGAAAATATGATGAAACTGGACAACACCCTGGTCCATTTGCTAAATTTCTTAAAAGACATGGCATATGTTCTCAATACACTATGCCAGGCACACCACAACAAAATGGTGTGGCTGAAAGACGTAATCGTACTCTAATAGAAATGGTTAGGTGTATGTTGAGCAATTCATCTTTACCTATTTCCTTGTGGATGTTTGCATTAAAGACTGTCATGTATCTACAAAACAGGGTTCCTAGTAAGGTAGTTCCAAAGACTCCTTTTGAACTGTGGACGGGAAGGAAACCCAGTTTAAGGCACCTGCATTTTTGGGGTTGCCCGACAGAAGCTAGAATTTATAATCCACATGAAAAGAAGCTGGACTCAAGAACAATCAGTGAATTTTTCATTGGTTATCCAGAAAAATCAAAAGGGTATAGATTTTATTGTCTTAATCATAGTACTAAAATTGTTGAAACTGGAAATGCTAGGTTCATTGAGAATGGTGAAGTTAGTGGGAGTTTGGAACCACGAAATGTGGAAATACAAGAAGTTAGAGTTCAAGTTTCTCTACTCTCAACTTCTTCTAATGTTGTTGTTCCTCAAATTGTTGGACGGCATAACAATTTACCTGAACAACAAATAAATGAACAAACACCCCACAATGAAGTTGCTACTAATGAACCTGCATTAAATGAACCACAAGAAATAGCATTAAGAAGGTCACAAAGACAACGTAGACCTGCTATTTCTGATGATTATGTGGTTTACCTACAAGAGTCTGAATTTGACTTGGGAATTATTGATGATGATCCAGTTTCATTTTCACATGCCATTATAGAGCGACAATTCTGATAAGTGGTTAGATGCTATGAAAGATGAGTTAAAATCTATGGAGCATAATGAAGTCTGGGATCTCGTCGAATTACCAGAATCATGTAAAAGAGTTGGGTGTAAATGGGTCTTTAAGACCAAGCGCGACTCTAATGGTAATATTGAACGATATAAAGCTAGACTAGTTGTCAAAAGTTTTACTCAGAAAAGTGGCATTGATTATAAGGAGACATTTTTGCCAGTCTCCAAGAAAGACTCACTCAGAATTATAATGGCTTTAGTAGCTCATTATGACTTAGAGCTACATCAAATGGATGTGAAAACCGCCTTTCTAAATGGAAATTTAGATGAAGAAGTTTATATGGATCAGCCTGAAGGTTTTTCAGTTAAAGGAAAGGAACACATGGTGTGTAAGTTAAAGAAATCAATATATGGACTTAAACAGGCTTCCCGTCAATGGTATCTTAAGTTCAACGATATCATTATTTCTTTTGGATTTAAGGAAAACATCGTTGACCGATGTATATAACTAAAGGTCAGTGGGAGCAAGTTTATATTTTTGATTCTGTATGTTGATGATATCTTGCTAGCTACTAATGATCTTGGTCTATTACACGAGACTAAGAAATTTTTCTCTAAAAATTTTGAAATGAAAGAAATGGGAGAGGCAACCTATGTGATTGGAATTGAAATATTCCGTGATAGGTCACAAGGATTGTTAGGGTTGTCTCAGAAAGCATATATCAATAAAATTTTAGAGAGATTTAAAATGAAAAATTGTTCAGCGAGTGTCGTTCCAATTCAGAAAGGAGACAAATTTAGTCTCATGCAATGTCCTAAGAACGACTTGGAACGCAAACAAATGGTAGCTATTCCTTATGCATCTCTTGTTGGGAGCCTAATGTATGTTCAGACTTGCACCAGGCCAGACATCAGTTTTGCTGTCGGAATGCTGGGCAGGTATCAAAGTAACCCAGGACTTGATCATTGAAAAGTTGCAAAGAAAGTATTGAGATACTTGCAAGGAACGAAAGACCACATGCTCACTTATAGGAGATTTGATAACTTGGAGGTCATTGGATATTCAGATTCAGACTTTGCTGGATGTATGGATACTAGAAAGTCTACATTTGGCTATTTGTTCCTCTTAGCTGGAGGGGCTATATCATGGAAAAGTGCGAAGCAGTTAGTCATTGCTGCATCCACTATGGAAGTCGAGTTTGTGGCATGCTTTGAGGCCACAGTTCAAGGAAATTGGCTGCGGAACTTTATTTCAGGACTTGGAATTGTCGATAGTATAGCCAAGTCGCTGAAACTTTATTGTGATAATTCTGCAGCAGTCTTCTTTTCAAAGAACGACAAGTACTCTAAAGGTGCTAAACACATGGAATTGAAGTACTTTGCTGTTAAAGAAGAAGTTCAAAAATAAAAGGTGTCAATCGAGCATATTAGCACCAATCTTATGATTACAGATCCATTAACGAAATGATTGCCACCAAAGACATTTAATGAACAAGTCGAAAGGATGGGCATTATTGAAAATTATTATTGACATTATTATGTAATTGATGATGCTTATGTATTGACACTTGGAGCTCAATTATGTCTTGTTTTTGACAAATGTTATTCCTGTCATAATTGTTGGTACATGTACATGAGTGAATTATCTGAATGCTGACAGGAATAGCCCTTTAAAGATATTATTAGAAACTTCTCATTACGTATCATGTTGAGTAAGGACTTATATTGTAGTACATGGAAGGAATTATGCCAAAATGATGGTGTAAAATCGCCATGACTCTTATTCGTCATTACTTAACGATGATATATTAAGTGACCAATATATGAAGGATTTTAGCTTATCGTATGCGCATTATGTTATAGACCACATAATGATGTAATATTACTCGGGCCAAGTGGGAGAATGTTAGACCAATTAATGTGGCCCCACGTAATATTATAAATAAATTAATATTTGGTCTATATATATTAAAAATTTGATTGGTCATTGAGAAGTGACAGTTTTGTAATTGTCCACTTTGATGGAAAGTGGGTAGTTTTGGCCTAAAAGAAAACTGCCTCTCTCTGCCTTTTTAACGTGAATGAAAAACCATCAATAAGAATATTCAAGAACAGTAAGGAAAAGAGAGAGAACAGTTTTCTTTATTCTCACTGATTTCTCTTTTGCAGATTTAATAAATTCCAATTTTCTTCATGGATCAAGGTATGTTACTTGATCAAATTACTCATACGTGAAAATCATAGAATTCCAAGATCTTGGCATAAAGTATGAATTAATTGCTTACAGATGAATCCAAGGTTCGTAAGAATAAAGCTATATATACATCTTGTAGGACAACTTGATTAACATTCTCCTTGGGTGGAAGAAATCTGTGCAGTAATGTGATGGATAAGTTCAAAATCAAGATAGTAAATATAGACATGTGAAAGAATGAAAAAAAATATAAGAATATAAATGTAGCATGGTTATTCATGTAATAAAGCGAGGTTACTATAAAAATTGGGCAAAATTTAGATATCTACTTTGTGAAACATGCCCACATAAAGCCAGTTGCATATAAAGATTCGCAGCAATAATTTCCAAGTTTTTCTAAGGTCAAAACTTCATATCGTCCAAATATAAAAGGTACATTTAATGAGGATGCAAAAGATAGACAATGGTTTCCAAGAGGAAGAAAATAAATTGTCAAAAAGGATCGATAGTAACTAAACTGCCAAAACATTTCACTTGGAATCTGGAAAAGGTAAAATCTGTCATCAATTCTGTAATAACTCAAACTTTGAAGCCTCGACTGTTTCTCTTTCCTCTAGCCCGCTCAAATTTTCTTCCCTTGGCATGCACGTAAGGCTTTGTGTGACTGTGTGGTACACCAGGAACTGGACCAACGTGCTTCACAGCTTCACAAGATTTTGTTGGACCTCTAAGGAGTACCTGCAGCACACCAGTTGGTTTAGTAAATTCATCCATTCATTGTCTAGCTGGTTCAATTAATGAGGGCTCCATTTGTGGGATCACATCACAAAATTATTATGAATTAAACCAGAGAAAGCAAAATACTGAGGGAGTACAATGATCATCAAATATCCTGCAATAGAACGACTTTCTTTCAAGAAGGAGAAGAACACCTATTTTTCCACAAGTTAACTATTCTAGCGTACCAAGTGGGAAAAATTCAAAACCCCCTATTGAGAAAGGATTTCTAACTAGGCATCACAAGAAAATATTTAGAAATAGTGAGCATAATCAGAAAAGGTAAAAGGATGAAAAAAAAACTATTTATATACCGTCATATTCATTCACCTTTGATTTCTCCAGTTTGAATTAAGCATAAAAAAAGGCTTTCTTAGCATTTTAATTTTTCTCACTGAAATTTAGCAACCGAATGAGACATTGTGTTGGGAAAATGACCTCCCAAAGGTTGCCCAATAGATCAAACAAGTTGACAAAGTGAAAATTTCCAATATGCTTGAAGAACAAGAAAATGAGGAAGAAATGAATCTAATGGAATATATGATAATCAATGTGTTAGGATTACTTGAACAAGCCTCAAGTTAA